TAACCCTATGTGTTCACCCCTCTCCTTTTTTCCTGCCTTCTGCTCTCTCTCCCTCCTCATTTCTCTTCTCTCTTCACCTGTCCTCTGTCTGCCCTCACCTCTCCCCCCTTCCCTTCCATTTTTTTCTTACATCTCTCTCCCCTATCTCCTCTCCTCCCATTTCCCACCACACTATCTCCCATCTCCTTTCATCTCTGCCACCACTCCTCTTTCCACCCTGCCCTTTTCTCCTCCCCTCCTCCCTCCGCTCCTTCCTTTCTCTCTCTTTCACCTTTCTCCCTTGTGCTTTTCCTCCCTCTTCTCACCCCCCTTTAACCCCCCCTCCATCTTCAAGAAAATCACTGCATGTCACTGGTCAATTTGACACGCGGTCTTCCATGAACTTCTCATTATGTATTCGGTGATGGATGTGACAGGTCCTCTTTATAGGTGATATACAGGAGGTTAGAGTTCCTGTATTAGATGAACATTGTGTCAGGCGGGTCATATCAGACAGTCAGACTGCGGCCTCCCCTTCAGTCTTCTATCTAACCTCTGGCCTCCCCTTCAGTCTTCTATCTGACCTCCGGCCTCCCCTTCAGTCTTCTATCTAACCTCTGCCTCCCCTTCAGTCTTCTATCTGACATGTTCTTAAAGGGGATATTCATTTTCAAAAGTTCGACCCCAATTGACTTGCATTGAGTTCGAGTTCGTATTCAAACTTTTCGGGTGTTCGCATACGAACCGAACACGGGGGTGTCCGGCCCATCACTACTCACCAGCAGAGTCTATGAAAGATAAAGTAAATCTCCAGGACGGAATGTTCTACCAAACACTTAAATATGAATGATTTGTGGAGCGTTCAGTCCGGCAATGTACAGCAATGGCGTCTGCAGCAGAACAATTATAGAACATTGGGATCACACAGGACGTGGGAAATGCCGAGTGTGCAGGATACCAGCTGACACCTCCCAGAGTCCTCCCGAGTATTATGAACTTAGTTGTGGACGGAGTGAGGACTTCATGGACTATCGGAGATTATAAAAGAGATCTCACCGTCCTCCTGCAACGTTCTGCAGATCTGGAGGCCACAAACTGAGCAGAGCTTCCTCGGTGGAACGCGCAGCCTCCTTCCCCGGGGTCAGGGAAGGGGGAGGCCTCAGCTATTCACAGCTCCAGCAACAGGCGGGGAAATATTCAGAACAAAGTCCACAAGGCGTCCTTGTAATCAGAGTCACATGTGCCAAATCTGAGCTGTGTATCAGACATAAGAGGGCCTGTCACATACACACAGCAATCCGGTATGGTCAATCAATGTAGGCGGCGTGTCTACCTCCCAGATAGCAAGCAATTGAGCTGCAAGTTTGAAAATGACTTGCTAAACTATTGCAGACTTGCCGAGCTTCACAATTTTGTTGCACAATTACAGCAAGTCTGCATTGCAAGTCTCCAGACCAGCGAGCTTGCAGAGCTTTTGCTAAGACCTGCAGGACTCTTGCTGTAGACTTGCCAAGCAAATTTGCTACAAATTCAATAAGTGTCGCCTAGAACTTGTGCTGCGAGACCATCACCGAATACATAATGAGAAGTTCATGGAAGACCGCGTGTCAAATTGACCAGTGACATGCAGTGATTTTCTTGAAGATGGAGGGGGAGTTAAAGGGGGGTGAGAAGAGGGAGGAAAAGCACAAGGGAGAAAGGTGAAAGAGAGAGAAAGGAAGGAGCGGAGGGAGGAGGGGAGGAGAAAAGGGCAGGGTGGAAAGAGGAGTGGTGGCAGAGATGAAAGGAGATGGGAGATAGTGTGGTGGGAAATGGGAGGAGAGGAGATAGGGGAGAGAGATGTAAGAAAAAAATGGAAGGGAAGGGGGGAGAGGTGAGGGCAGACAGAGGACAGGTGAAGAGAGAAGAGAAATGAGGAGGGAGAGAGAGCAGAAGGCAGGAAAAAAGGAGAGGGGTGAACACATAGGGTTAAGAAGTGAGGTGAGTAGAAGAGGGGAGAGGAGGGTGAGGGGGAAGAGGAGAGGTAGATACTAGGTGATGGTGAATAGGAGAGAGGAGAAGTGGAGTGGTGAGGGGAGAGAAGAAGTGAATAGGTGAGGGGGGAAGACAATACAGAAGAGGTGAATGGTTGAGGGGAAGGAGAAGAGAGGAGAGGTGGATAGGTGAGAGGAAATAGGAAAAGGTGGCTGGTTAATGAGGAAGAGGGGAGAGGAGAGGTGGATAGGTGAGGGAGAAGGGGGAGAGGAGAGGTGGATAGGTGAGGGAGAAGGGAGAGAGGATAGGTGAGGGGGGAGAGGAGAGATGAATAGGTGAGGGAGAAGGGGGAGTGGATAGGTGAGGGGGGGGAGGGGAGGGGAATAGGGGAGGGAGAGGGGGGGGGAGAGGGGTGAACACATAGGGTTAAGAAGTGAGGTGAGTAGAAGAGGGGAGAGGAGGGTGAGGGGGAAGAGGAGAGGTAGATACTAGGTGATGGTGAATAGGAGAGAGGAGAAGTGGAGTGGTGAGGGGAGAGAAGAAGTGAATAAAGACGGTCGCACACCTTCCATACACTGCACGATTCTTGTACGATGGCGGGATTTCCGCAGTGTATGGGCCTCCCCTTCAGTCTTGCACAGTTGTACCGGCTCCTCTCTCTGATGTAACTGCACACTGGGAGCTTCTCACAATGTGCATTAGAAGCTGCAGCAAGTCACATAGAGCTCTGCCTCATTTCCTGGCTAAAGGACGTCCGGCATCATCAAGACTTTACCTCTCCGGCCTGACTGTACTTGGTCTAAAGGTGCCCATACACTTTACAACCCTCGCAAGACTTTTGTCTTGCGAGGGTTGTAAGGTAATTAAAAAAACGTACGATCTGCCTATCTTGGACAGACAGATCGTACTCGCGATCATCACAAGCCCGCCCGCTGAGGGGCGGGCTTCCGATGACCGCAATGCTTAACGGGCAGTGTGCGCGTGCGCACACCGGCCCGTTCAGCATTTGTCCTCCTTAGACAAAAGACGCGCGACCGTACAATAAAGACGGTCGCACACCTTCCATACACTGCACGATTCTTGTACGATGGCGGGATTTCCGCAGTGTATGGGCACCTTTATATTGGATTTCAATTCTTTCAATCATGGAGGCTCAGCATCACATGCGGGCATTACCTAGGGCGCTCTGCATGCAAATGTACATATATTTTTATATTTTTTACATTCTTATATATCTATATTTGTTTGTTTATTTATTTTTTCCTCCAAGAAATGTTACTTTAGTCACTGATTCCTGCCCAGATAGTGAGGATAACTTGCCACAAACTTGTGTCAGGGTGAAATTGTAATTCTTGTTAAAGGAGAACTATGGGGTCAGCGGCCCCCCAGCGGCATCTTCTGACACCCCCAGACATGACATTTCATCCATTCTCGTCTGTTTTATTTGTCAGGATAAAGAATGAGACACACAGAGAACAGAGCAGGCAGAGCAGAGACAGGAAGGAAGCAGAGGCAGACATTTATTGATGATGATGATGACACATTGTATCCACCAGGATCATACTTTGATTGACAGTCTCCTGGTCCCGTACCGTGCTCTGGTTCCTCCCACCAACCCCCTATCTTACACTGATTGGTCACATTATCCATTTTTATTTGTATACAAATGTTTTTCATTTTTTTGCTACATTAGTATTACTCTTAAAGGGGCCCACACATACACGATATTACCAAACGTATTGGGACGCCTTTACACACCCATGAACTTTAAGGGCTAGTTCACACCAAGTGCGTTCCAGGAGCAGAGCAGTTACAGATTGGATCAAAACTGCGTCCAATGTATTCCAATGGTATTTTGGGCTCTAGTTCACACCGCAAGCCCTATTTTACCTGCTCTGGAACGCATGCAAACGAATCACAAATGCATGCAAACGCACTGGAACGCTCTGAAAGCCCATTTTAAACTAAAAACTATATTTATTTTTTTCCCCACAAAAACGGCCCTGAACGTGTCAAAATCGTGGCAAAACACACTGCACTGCGTGTGCAGAAACTCATGCAGATCTGGTCTGCATTTGATGTGAACAAGCCCTAATGGCATCCCAGTCTTAGTCCGTAGGGTTCAGTATTGGGTTGGCTCCGCCCTTTGCCGCTATAACAGCTTCAACTCTTCTGGGAAGGGGCCACAAGGTCTAGGAGTGTGTCTATGGGAATAGTTGACCCCATAGTTCTCCTTTAAGGATCTATTCATGTACTGATTGGTCCAGAAGGCTTTGTTATGTATTCAGTCCCTTCTCACCCTGGCCTGTATGGTTATAGTCACATGTTGTATGTTTATAGTCACATGTTGTATGTTGTATGGTTATAGTTACATGTTGTATTTTGTATGTTTATAATGACGTGTTGGGTCTCATTCTGACTCCATAGAGGCCATGGCTTCCATACACTGCACTGATGATGGCCAACAAGCCTGGAACAACAGTGGGGAATGAGTGGCCCTATTATAATATTCGGCTCTATTTGCAGTCGGAGGTTCTGGATGAGTATCTGGCCAATGAGGCACGTAGGAATACTTTACAAGGCTCCGCCCACTGTCCTGAAATGAGCCTACAGCCATGGAAGGTGCCATCTTTGTGGATATTTTGGTAAATGATCCCGGTGTGATGCAAAGAACACTATTTGGGCAGCACATTGGCTTAGTGGTGAGCACGTCTGCCTTGCTGCACTGGGGTTCTCAGTTCCAATCCCGGACAGAATTCTATCTGCATGGAGTTTACACTGGCTTTCTCTTAATCTCCAAGGCTGGTAGGTTCATTGGCTCCTGACTAAACTGGCCATGGTATGCGTATCACCTTTTGGCTAATATAAGTGTAGTGTCTGTTCTTCGTAGTGTTCAGGGGAGGAGAGCGTCGTCTTCGGGCCTGGAGCTGACAATCTAATCCCCCGCCCCGCCCAAGTAATAGGTGGTGACAGGAAATCTCTATGGACTTGGGACCCCCCACTGTGTGTCACTGGCACCTAAAGCTTTTTCTGCACTATGCTTTTTGGCTAGCCCGGAGCAACTTTCTATCTTGGTCGGAAGGCCGGCCAAGTCTTAGGACTTAGCACTAATTTATTTATTCACTTTTTATGCATGAATTTTAGGGTGTGGGTACCTCCAGGGCCGGCCCGGACAGTAGGGGAGAGTCTCTGTGGCTTCTACTGGTTTTCTTTACCTCTCCTCATTCAGGGGTCTCTCTTCGGAACCTAGTACTTGGTGGACCAGTTTTGGCAGGTCCTTAAGACCTGGCTCACAATCTGAATTCCAATTCATCCCAGGGGTTGAGGTCATGACTCTGTGGAGGTCTCTTGAGATCCTCCACACCAAACCATGTCTTTATGGAGCTGGCTTTGTACACAGAACACAGTCATACTGGGACAGAGAAGGACCTTCACCAAAATGTTACCACAAGGTTGGAGGAGCACCAATTGTCTTTGTATGTTGTAGCATTAACAATGTCCTTCACTGGAGACACCTGGTCCTAATCATTTGAAGAGGTGTCCATATACTTTTGGCTATATAGTGTATATTTGAATCAAATTTTTTTCAGGGTAACGGCAGATCACCTATAATAAACAATTTTTGCCAAATTTGATTTTGAACAGAATTTGTAAGTCAGTTTTCCTCCATAACTTTATTGGACTTCAGTTGATTCAGCTGGACACGCATTTCTGAGCATAGGGAACGAACCTTAATCCTTGCGGACCTTGATATAGATTGGATCTCCCACTCTTAATTTTCCGGTTTGCTCCACTCCGTAGTATTGGCCAAAAAGTGGAGCGGTCTTGTAGAGGTGGCTCAGAGAAGGATCGCTCTGTCGGAAGGTCCTCAGCGTTTCCAGGGGCTCCTTCCGGCTCATGATTCCAGTATCGGGATCCACTGTGGTCAGCAGACAACGGCCACAGGCCATGACCCTCTTTAGCTTGGTGGTGCCCACTTCCACGTCATCCCAGCCATCTTCAGCAAAGGCCTCACATCCAGACACCACGATGCAGGGCCGGAAATTTCCCAGAGTGACCGGCTTCTCCAAGCGCTTGTTGAGCTCCTCCAGGGACGTTTCGGAAAGGAGCATGACGGGGCTGGCATCGGGATAGGCAATGACGTCTT